GATGTACGTAGTATGTCACAAAGAAATAAAATGTTTATTGACCTTGCGTCCTAAGAATAACCGTCATTAACTAAGATGACAAAATTTATGAAAAATTAATATTAATAACTACTTCAAAAATTACACCGACATCTGGAACTTGCTTTTGACGAATTTATGTCGATCATTAAAATTCCAAACCCTACAACACCATTTGAATACTACTGTAATTGTCTTCAAAAGAGATCTAATAGCCAAACAAGAAAAAAATTACAGCGCAGGCCATCATGACGAGGGTGCTGGCCATACGACTGTTAACGCCATTGCAGTAGTCCCTGTAGCAGCAGTCCACGTTACAAGTGACACCAGGCTCCCGGCAGACGGCAACACTAGAGGCATTGCACGTGCGCGCGCAGGCTCGAAGATAAACGTTTTCCTTGGAGCTGTGAGCGCTGGCTTTGAGGCACCTTGTCGAAGTTAAGCATCTGACTCGACGTCCATTGGCATCGCAGTCCTTCCAAGAGGTTGCACTGAAACACTCAAAACATTCACGGGAAATCACTGGATTTGGGAGGAAAATTTCAGAAAATGTCAGATGTTTTCCGTGTAAGATAACGTCTTGTGATAAAGATGTTCCTTGTCTTCCCTTATGCTACGGATATTTGGGGAGAAGGAGCAAGGGTCGGTATATAAATAACCGCTCCTGAGCCTACCCCAGCTAAGAACTGGGTTAATTTTTTAGCGTGAAAAGGACGGAAAATAATCATCTAACGTAGGCTACGGCATATGTAGTTCTAAAAACCACCACTCCCAAAGAAATTGCAGTTTTCAAATTAAAAACAACTTGTCAATAAAACTCCTAAACTCACTAGAACTACCTGAATGTGCATCCGTGCATGAAAATAACTCGAAAACCGGAAAATTAAGACCTCGTGATATAGTATCGAATAGGAACTGGAATTACCTGTTTAATCTTTCGGTTCAAATTACTGTGCGTGTTAGCAAACTACTGAGACTCTATGAGCTAAAACCTCGCTAAACACTGACGATATTCGCATGCACATACTTATCCCATTTTCTATAAAACATTACCAACGTGAAAAGCAACGTTTCTGTATGAAATAATTTTAATATATCAACAAATTTGAAATGATAAAATGGCCACCGTTACGATTATAAAAGCTGACGTTTCGAGCGTTAGCCCTTCTTCGGAGCGAATAGAGGAATTGTGGGTTGTATGTGCTTTTAAAGGCAGAAAATGGAGCTACGTTATTGGTGGGAACATGGCAACGAGAAAAACACCAATAAACTAGTGGAATGAAAAGCGTTCGTTAATACCTGTGGGATTTAGACTGCCGGTTTGAAAGATGAGCTTTTGTTCAAGATTTTTACGGTTTCTGTATAAACCTCTCTAGATCCTCGGTCTTCGAAAACTAAGGCTAGCGAGGTTCTGTTTATCTTTCGGATTGGCTGCACAAAGTGCTGAGCTCAATGATGAAATGTTTTGTAAGTGTATTTGAGCATTACTCATGACAAATCAAAATTAGTCTAACAACTTGACACGCGGAAGAACTGTTTCGATTCGCGACTCGGTATTTAAGAAACTTTAATAGCTGTATAACACAGCTAGCGAAAGAAGCTAAAACTTCACTCTATAAAACTCCAAGTATGTAAATATTGTATTTCTTCCGCAAAGGAGAAGCTTTAAAATGAATGAACCCTTAACGAACATCATGCTGATACAACAACATGGCAGCGTCGTAGAACTCGAAACAGGATGTAACTAGTGATGAGAATCTTTATCATTGATTAATATGAAGTATCTACGTACCCATTGGCAAGAAAATGAGGAACATCACAAGTGCCAAGTTCATTACTTTCGGCGACATGTTTCGTTTTTACCTTCGCGTCGTTGGAGTGTTCCTTGTCGGCACTGTAACAACTTGTAAACTGTGATAGCTACGAGTCTTTGGAACAAAGTGAACAACACGTCCGACTAAAACATGATGCGCCCGAAAAGAGTTTAACTTAATCTGAAACAATATTAATGCTTGTCAAAAAACCGTAGTTTGATTGGTCGATATGCGCTACACACTACCAATAATTTGTCCTCTGATTTTCTTCAGCGTCACTCTTAGCAATCATGATAGTGCCCCTCAGTTTTTTGTGAATGATTCATTTCGTAGCAGCTGTGTAACTTCTCATGACATAACGACGGATTCAACGCATGCTGTCACTAACCCATTTCCGCCAGCTAGGATTTCCTTAAAAGTATGATTCAAGCAGAAGTTTACGCGATGTCAAAGTTTCTTAATCATTCTCACCGTAGTAAAGGTGTTCTTTCGGAAAGTTTCACCCGACCATGTTAATTGATAATGACTAAATGCAAACAATGTCTTACGTCAATGGCGTAAGAAGGAAGTACAAGGTGAGGGCAATCAAACAATAAAGGCTTTGACAATGATGAAGCAGTTTAAAAAAAGAGCACATTAAAACCACTGGTTTCTGACTATAGTAGCCTTCGCAGTCCATTCCAGAGGTGAGAAATACAGTCCAACCTGTATTGAAGGACACCGTGTAATGCAGTCACCCTTTATAGACTGGATTGCAAAAATGTAACTTCAGACGTTTGAGTGACATGGAAATAAATTAGTCACAAGTTGATATTCTGATGACATGTTGAAATGGTTCACGTGGCATCATGGAAGTTTCCGATTATTTAAGCCTTTCGCGGGAAAATTAAGTAAGTCTATGTCGGTCAGTCTTATGTGTGACCACTTACTTTTTTTGTCTTCCAACTCCCTGTAAAATATCATTGCATTCACTGATTTTCTGTGCCATTAGTAGTGGAACCAGGTCAATTCATTTTTTCCTCGGGGTATCGTGCTGCCGCCTTGGATGAGGAATAAGTTTCCACATATTTTTTGGCCACTTCTAAGGGTATTTTTTTGGTGTCTTTTTTTTGTAGAACCCTTCAGTTCAGTGTAGACATGTTAAGATTGTACCAGTATGCGCATACTTCACGACTAGCTGACTCGTCCTAAATAAACTTTTCACGCTGAATGTCTCCTCACTGAGTGTGGTCACTGAGTGAGGTCAGAGTCATTGATACCTACAAACCGTTAGAAATGCATATGAGCGATGAGACCCAACGGTTTTACGGGTACATGTATGTACATATATAATAACCACTATTTTTTGCACGAGGTAAATGATAGAAGTCATCCTCAATTTCCGAAATAAAGGAAATATCAAAGACAAAGATTTACTATACATAATGGAAAAAGTAAAGCACTGACCATGTAACCATATAACATTTCTCATAAACCATTGGGTCTCAACAACCGACCGCTAAAAATTAAAGCGGTCGGTTGTTGCCGTCATGATTTTTTCCCCCATTAGTTGCTCTAATTGCGTCGTTGAATAATTGTTCCTGTTCAGTTTTACACATTTATTGACATTTGATTAAACATAGGCATGCTACGTATGCAAGAGTTATTTTTGTTTTATGGCTGGCTGATGTTTTCGTCAACAAAAACAGAAAAAGAGGCTCAGCATAGCTTTCAAAAGAACGAAAATATGGCATTATTACTTTACCTAACTTATGGGAGAAAAACACAACCTGCCAATTCATCTGAAATAAACTCAAACAGGTATTTTGTGGTCTATTGTTTCTGTTGTCTAAATACTTGTAAGATAAAAAATAAACTGCATCTGCAGTCTTCTTGTCTTTCTTGCTTTTGGAGCCAGCCTCGTTCCCAAAGCCTTTTTCCTTATTTGGGGCAGGGTGGGGAGATTTATAGGAATTTTTCATTTGTCTCCCTTTCTTTGGCTGAAACCTACACTTTAAAGGTGTTTCTACGCTCTGTTTCTTAAGCTTTTGGTTCTGCTCTCGCTATTGTCACTGAAAGCCAACTTTTTTAGAGTCAGAGAACACACTTTGATATTTTCCATCTCTTTTGTTTGCGAGTGTATAAGTAAGCTCTTCAAGATCAGAAATCTCGTTTCTTATTTTTTTTTCATAGTTATTTACAATGTCTGCCGAGTACATTAACTATGCGAGTACTATCCTTTGTGTAAGGATTTCCGCCGCTGAGTTGTCAAAGGCAGACATTGATGCAACTGCAGTGGAACCCCTCTAAACCGGACCCTCATTAAACCGGAATCCTCTCTTTACCAGACCATTTTTTCGGCCCCTAAATCTCTGTCATACATTTTCTCTATTTTTAACCTTAGTAAACGGGAACCCCTCACTTTCGGAAACCGCACGCTTTTTTCAGTCCGTAATCACATACTGACAAAGAAATTGATCTCGTTAAACCGGACGTGAAAGTTTTAGGCTTGCCGCCAAAATCAAATCACACGTTTTTAAACGTGATTAAAATTAAAACTGTAATCATGCAAGTGAAATCCCAATCAAAAGTGAGAAATGTGTATCGGCTAATTACTCATTGTTCAATCGGTACTGAAGCAAAAAATCCAAAGTCGACGATCGTGCAGCTGTTGCAGGGTTGAATGAATGACAACAATAGGGGTTAGGTCAATTGTTTGTTCCTTTACTAATGTGCTTTATTAGTACTCGTGTATCATGCACTGGTAATTACAGTCAGGCGATTGCAATACAGGCGGTGTGCGCACTCTGATTGCGTTGCATCATGGTCGTAAAACAAAAATTGAGTCATTTGCATCTTGACGAGTTGGAGTGAACTTCGCTGATGGCAGCGAGATTGCGTGAATATACATGGATTATAATGGAGATTCACTGTCTGTTGCCGTCCCTTCGAAAGTTAAAAAGTTTGACGGGCCTGCGCGACTCCTGTCATTCCTCCGTGACGAATTCGTTCTTAGGAGGCAACTGACGTTATTTGAAAAGATTCGAAACTGCAATCTGCCTAAGAATCTCGACACAAATGGCAACAGTTACACTCACAACCGATGGCGGGATGAATAATTTCAGAGTCAGAAATTATACTCCTAGACACGAGTTATTTAACAGGGAATTGACCTTTAACATACAAACGCACATTTGGATAAAAACAGGAAAAAAGATCCTAAAATTCGTTTCCACAGTTTTCCGAATGATGCGGTAATTTATGCATTTGGTCAACTTTTGTTTCATTAATAACTGAATTTCCGGATAACATTGGTTTTTTGGCTAGATACCCCCACTAAGTCCTATGAATTCTGTTTCTGGATGTTATTTTAATGGAAAAACTAAATGTGTGCAAACGTGAAAATTATCTGTTCTTCTCACTGGCAGTTCGCATTTGAAGGCTTTTTAAAGCAGTGAATTAAGTAAGGGAAATATTGATAGCAATATTGAAATTTGGCCTATCCTCATCGGTCGACCAGCATCACCTCTCTCGATTTCTAGTTGCATGTTAGTTGGAAATTTTTGTCCCCCAAACGCGTTACAAAGATCTTCTCTACAACACCTAACAGAGCAAGTTTTCACTTCAGCTCCTCTGTTAGTTGCCAGTTCCATTAGCACTGCACATTTGTTGGCGATTGCATGACAATCACGACTCTCCGTATCGCAATCTCTCCATTCCGTAGCGGTAACTTTCCTCGTGCATCTGTCTAAAACCTGCGCTTGTAAAGAGAAGCACCATTCGTAAGAACCATTTTTCAAACATCTCTTCTCGCGTAGTTTTCTTCCATTTAGATTTGAAACGAATTTTGGCTCGAATTCAAAGCACTTCTTTGGAGTTTTTCGTCCAGCTGATGTCGGTAGAATTTTATGAGTGCTCGATGTTATTAAATCTAGTGTCCCCACAGGATGGTTGCAACGATCAGCGGCACAGCACTGTGGGCGGCAGCTGGGCTCTACAAGAAGCCCAGGCCTCTCTCTCCACAGGTGAAGTTTGATATCTCTGCACGGCTGGGCTGAGTAACATTCTGTCTTGGACGAACATTGCCTAAAAAAGAAAACAGTTACACTGCATTACGTTAGGAGATTGAGGAGTTTTGACAATTTTATCTATGTGGCTGCTTCGAACAAGAAAGCCCATCTCTCAAGATTTCTTTAAAATTTCAATTTTGCTTTGTCTTTGGGTAAATGTTGCAGATTTTCTTGAATACTAAGGATTCTTAATCTTTGAACCCTTTAGTTGACTTCGAAACAAACTAGGGATCCTATACGATTATGTTAAATAAACAATGTCATGGTTCTAAATCTGTACATAGACTGACTTGGAGCTCAATCCAGTTTTTGAAGAATGAAGCGACAGGATGTATTGCTACCCCCTCCAGAACAAATGCCGATCAAAGGCGCTTTTCCCATTCGGATGGAGAGAGACAATATAAGTGTAAATCGTCCTACTTAGGAACCAAAACTTGTAACTCTGTGTAAGCCACGAGTTAAGCCTGCGTCGCTAGCTATATTCAGAAATTTTTGAGCGGCGAGGGTGCCAAAACTTGCGGCGAAGTCACGGGTGGGGAAGGAAGTTGCTCTTTTTCGTGGTTCCATCGTTTTTGTTTTTTTTTTTCATCAACCGCCCGAAACTCCACCGGCTAAGCAGATTAGTTGAACCCGAATGTTCACTCCAGAGTTTTGGCGCGAAAAGTATTAGGTATTGTGGTTGAGATATGGAAATCTGGAAAGGTTATCTTGTCAGTCTCTAAACTGCTACTTGAAGTGGAACTAGGGTGGCAAATCCAGTAAGGATTTAGAGTAGCCGATTCTAGTACGGTATCATACCTTAAGAACAGAATTGACTTATCTCCCTTCAAATCTGTCACTGAGGCATCAACACTCATACAAACTGACTCGCCCTCTCGAGAGCAGCTTTCAACTCGGGAATTTCTCAAGCACTTGGTTGCTAACAAGGTCGCATTACATTTGTAACATTCTAATGATCTCGTTTCTTTGATTGCGGCTGCTAAAGACAAGAAGAAATAAACAGTGGGATAAGTAGTGCAGCGAAAAAAACAAAGAAACCGACGCAGTTCTGTTTTAATACAAATTTTCTCAAACTGGCTGGCTCTGGCTGGCTCTGGCTGGCTCTGGCTTGCATTTCTATCATATCTGTATGCTTGAGCCTAGCCTCAGTTATAATCAGCTACTTTAGAAATGACAGGCAACTTTAAGTTCTCCATTTGAATAGCTTATGTTCCGTGGGTGTCTTGTTGACCTTTGCGTTCCCAAGATGGCCGACAGAGTTACTGCTTTCGACGGCAGAGTTCCAGTAAGAAAATTACGTTTCCGAATCGAATTAAAACATAACAGAATAATTCAATAAAAAGTTGTATATTAAATCTGCTTTCGGTTTCCCACAAGGAAGCCCAACCGTTCTGACGAATGCGTCGTCCATCCTTCCTCTCTCAGAATGAAAAGACCTCTTATCAACAAACAGATGAACGCAGTTAGGGACCGGTCATA